TTTCAAAAATAGACTGGACAACCACTTGGCTGGGGTGGTATAAGGCTCCTGTCTTGAGTAGGGGATTGGTGTCAAAAAAGGCTGTATACAATATTTTATGTACAAATTAATTATCTACAATTGGTGCTTATGATTTCACAGTACTTTTTGTACAGGTTTTTTGTTGTTGCCCATTTGGCTGCTGTTTTGTAGTTTTTTTTATCTTCTAAAGATTGTTGGCATATATATGCACGATGGAAGTAAATCATACCTAGGAATAAAAGTATTCATGGATAAATGTGTAAGGAATGCCTGTTGTTATAATGGCATAGGCATCAGCTGCTAATTATGATAGTGCTAAAATGATGATGCCACAATGACCTTTCGTATGTGTTTGCATTGTGACACTGTAAGCACGTACGGTTTACATCCCTCATTCCCATGGCACACACGTATAGATGGCAAAAGTGTATCGGTAAAGGATATAAATGTATGTGCACATTTGAATGCAGATGATACCTTGTATTTGACAGAATCTGAATGATTGCAGAGAATATTAACGAGTGAGTGAGAGTGCAGTGAGGAACGTGTGGTTAACGTATCAAAACCCAAGGTGGTTTGTTTGACAAGGAAAATAGAGCAAAGATTTTCAGGTTATACAAAAGTAGTGAAAAACCAGGGCAGGCAGATATTTCTCATGATATTATAATATAACTCTACAAACAAAAAATGTGGGGGGAATAGTAGTGGTTAGAAAATAGTGTGTTGAATGTTTGTTGAAAAAAGCAAAAAACAGTGCTGTATAAAACCAAGCTACTCTACACTTCATTGCACAGGTGGTCCTTTGATTTACAAACACAATTGGGACTGGAATCTTAGTCATTGAGTGATGGGTCATTAAGTGAGATGTCACGGGACTGTTTTGCTTAACAACTGCAATCCTGGCACTCTTGGTTGTTATCATTAAGCAATCTTGTAGGTCATTAAGCAGATGAGTCCCACATAAAGAGTGCCTTAGAAACAGTGTGACAGGGAGCATTTTCAGCCCCAGAGTGGAGAGAGAGAGGCAAATCTGTCTGATCAGAGTTGGAGTTTGATGACAGAATTGGATTTCGGAGAGAGAATTTTCAGACCCAGAGTGGACAGATATCCTTTCCTTTCCACCGTGAGGCTAAAAATCCTCCCTGACAAAATACAAGTGGGATGTACTACCCCAAAATAGAGAGACTTTCCCTGCTGGCTTCCCCAATGACTCTGGGATAGCCAGAAGGAGAGATTGCAAATGGCGATCACATGGTTGTGAGGCACTTGGCAACCAAATCAGAAGTAGCAATGGTTTGCCAAGTGCCCAGATCTCAATCATGTGACTTCAGGGCCTACTACAATTGTTGCAACTTTAGGGTACAATTGTAGGAACTTTTGCTCAGCTACTTTGAATGATTGTTGAGTAAGTTCTGTAAGAGTTTGTTATGTTGGTAGAAACATAATGTGTAGCACTGTGAAAGCAATTCTACATAATGCTGCAAAACCTGAAAGATAATTATGAGTATGTACTGTATATGCTCAAAGTTTAATTTTATTTATCCTAGTTACACCTCCCAATGCTTTTAAATTAAAAGCATTAAATCTATTTAGATATGAGGTTTCTGTTTTGTGACCTTTCATTTTTAGCACTTTTGTTATTTTCATACATCTTTGGAGCGAGATTTTTAGAAAAGAAATATTAAGTAAAAGGATGAAGCAAAAATTGTATCTTCAGTGGCATAAATTCCTTGATTACAACATTTTCCCCCTCTGAACAAAGGATCTGTGTATGTATGAGTGCACAGAATTGGTCCTAATTTTTTTTCTTTGTTCCAGGACTCCATTCCAGCGTCTACCTTACTTTTTGGCAATGCTTCTGACAATACATCTAATTCTTTAGCTCAAAGACTAGGTATGTATATGCATGATTTTTTAAAACTTAACACAGGGAAATGGAAGAAAAAAAAAATCTATGACCACATAGGTGATTAACAGCCTTTGTATGTTCTGGGCACCATGATACAAAAATTAAAACAAAATTAATGGCTCAAATTATATGGGATCCTCATAAACCTTGTAAGCTTTCAGTAATATTTGAGCATGTTTATTATTGTTTTAAATCAGGGGTAAGGAACTATAGCTCTTTTATGACCTGTGGACTTCAACTCCCAGAAATCATGGTTGGCTCAGGAATTCTGGGAGTTGAAGTCCACAAATCATAAAAGGGCCATAATTCCTCACCCCTGATTTAAAACAACAATAATAAACATGCTCAAAGAAATTCTCAGATATTCCCTCGGGATATTGAAAGCAATTCAATCCCTGTTTAAAGTAAGCTTTTTATCCCGAAGAACTCCCAAAGCGTTATGTGGAGAATTTATCCCAAATGCAAAGCAACTACCTCCCAAACCCACCCGTTTTTTGTCAGCGACTGTGGGCTTGGAACTGTGGGAAACACTTGATAAAATTTGATTTCTGCTGTGGCTTCCTTCAAAGATTGATATGACTTGTGCTTTGTTTATGTTTTAGCCAGCAAGACTAAAAAACAGATTTTTGTCAGTTATAACATTCAAAATACTGACAGCGGCTTCATACTACTTGTAGAAAATCGTATCAAGGAAGAAATGGCAACTTTCCCAGACAAATTTTAGTTCCGGATAGTCACATTTTTTTGTTTATATTTTTTTTTTCCAAAGAAGATTTTTTTTTTAAAAAAAAAATATGTCATTGAGTTATATATTTGGGATGGCAAAATGCATTCAGTTTAATTGAGCTTCTTTTTGAGCTAATGAATGAATCTACATATATAATGAAAAGGAAAGAAGTATTCGGCTCTTCAGAAATTCCTGTTGGGAGAACATAGAACTGGAATAAATGCTACAACATTTGACAGATATTGCCACCTGCTGTTTCTGGTTGACACAACATAGATCTGTTTTGAATTTTCCAATCATATGTGATCTAGTTCTGTGGCATTCGATCAAAGATAAAATAAATCTGTTCAGTGAAAAGTATCAGATTGGAAATGGATTCATTGCAGAATATATGCCTATAGCAAACAAAGTCAAGGGAAAAAGACTTAAAACTTACTCAATAAGTGTAGTCTTATCAGCTTCCCTAGCAATTTTTGATGGAACGGTGTGCAATTAGATTGACTACTTTCCCATTACGTGAGCACCAGTGCTGAGCAGGTTTACATCTTTTTCAAGAAAGGGGGAAGCATCTAGAACATCTCTGTGAGATGAGGCAGAAAAGGAGTCACAGCTTCTTCTCAGAAAAAATGAATTGCAATGTATAAAGTAAAATAGCTAGATGTAGATTGCATTACAAAGAAAACCACTTGTGCTATCAAATTAAAATAAACCAAAATGTAATATTTACTGTATGTGCTGTGTGATTTATCCATTAAATCAAATAACAAGACAAATTCATTTCAGTTAAACTTAGTGAAATAAAGTTAGAATGTTTTGCCAATCCAGGTCCATGGACCCCTAAAATCTATCCAGACTCGCTAGGGGCCTCTGGGTCCCTATCAGAGGTGGTATTCCGCAGGTTCTGACCAATTCTGGAGAACCGGTAGCAGAAATTTTGAGTAGTTCGGAGAACTGGCAAATATCACTTCTGACTGGCCCTGCCCCCATATTGTCTGCCTCCCGAGTCCCAGCTGATTGGCTGGGTCTTCTTTTGTTGCCCTGTACAGGAGAACAGAGCTGGAAAGCAGGTTGGGGTGGGGAAGGAATGGGATTGTGGAGCAACCTTCCCCCAGGAGTGGGGAAGGAATGGGGATTTTACAGTATCCTTTCCCGGCCACACCCACCAAGCCACACCACGCCCACAGAACTGGTAGTAAAATGTTTCGAATCCCACCACTGGTCAAGAATTCCTGGTTTATAGTGGAAATTTCAGTGAAAGGCTTGTAAAGGAAATTGTCCTTAGATCATATTGGCTGTTCATTGCAACTGAGAGAGCAAGTTTAACTATTTTTTACATAATTGCTGCATAATTCCTAGAGGCTATTTACTGTTTGGGGACAGGATGTAATATCGCAGGACGAGTTTGTGTTGTTTTTTTCCTTTTGCAAATCTCTAAAATCTATACTTCAGAAATTCAAATCTACCCTGTTAGATAATGGCAAAGGTCTATTTAACCCAGTATTCTTTGCCTCAATCTGTCAGTCAATTGCTCTAAATCAGACCTGACTTTTTTTTTTTTGGCTTTTAGTAGTTTTCTCTGGAAGTATAATAGCTATATTAAAGTTATTGAAAGCTTCAATTGCCGTTTTCCTTCTTATTTACATAATCCTTTAGCTCCTGAATTTTAACAGGGCATTCTTAGCAAGGCAAGGTGTTGGCATGGTGGCCTAATGATGAAGATGCTTACCTTGCACTTGGAAGATTGAGAGTTTAATCCTAGGTAGTGGCAGATATTTCTCTCCTAAGAGCATAAAGACAAAATATTTGCTGCAACTCCAGAAGGGTGTCAGGAGGGGCATCTGGCCAGTAAATGCTCAGCTTCATTCAGTCACCCTGATTCTACCCCGAATAGAAAAAAGGGAGCTATTCTTGGAAAGGCAGGGGGTGGGGAGGTCCCTGCGGAAAGCAACTTTGGGCAAAGCAGCATCTGCAATAGTGCAAAATGGGATAATCCCAACAAGACAGATGGAGACTGAGTGCAGCAGTAATGGAGCAACATCTTTTATTCCTGTACATTTACATACAAAGTTGTTCAGTAGGTACAACGGGTGTAACATCATGCAGACATTTAGCTTTTAAGACTGTTCTTCAGTAGTTGATTGTTAAGCTTGTGCTATGAAGAAGCACCAACTACTCATGATTAAAAGTACAGTAACAACGATTAGTCAAGAAAACATCATCAGAAATTGAGGGAAAGGGCCAGGGAGATGTCATCCACTACAGACATAGCACACTACTCTGTTCCAAAAAGTTTTCACACAGTACATTGAAAAAAATGAGGTTTTGTTTAACTTTATTTTTAAAAAAATCAAGTGTGAACCATATTCAACACTTGTTGTCTTTCTGTCCCAGCTATAGATGCAACTTGATATGACATTCAGAGTTCATTTTTAATGGCACTTCTGAATTTGGTGACTTTTTTTCTCTTTAGTTTGGCTTTAGGATCTGGCGACATAAATAGTTGGTAATTGAAACAACAAAACAAAACTGAGCCAACAATTCAGAATATTCACAAGAATTCATTCTTACAATGACCCCATAACAAGGTTCTCTGCACCATTTTCAAAAAGTTTTGATAAATGGCACAGAAAGTCTTGGAATGTCCAATTTTGATCTGAGCTTTCTTGCTATTAAAAAGGTTTCTAATAAATTATTTTCAAGGCTACAAATATACCTCCCAAAAAATGGCTGAACTTGAATTACCGAAAACAGAAGTAGAAAAATGGAAGTGGACAGAACAGATACTGATGGTCTCCCTGTTTAGATAAATATGAGGATTTATTTATTTTTTCCTCCAGGATCAGGCAGCCTGCTAGGGCTTCTTAGCTGGAAGGTCTGGTGGCCATGGTTCTTAAGATCTCTCTCCTTTGGTTTTCTATGAAATTGCCAAACAAGAGATGCCATTTCCCTTCCTAAATTTGGCAAGAACCAAGGATTTGATCTGTGTTCTGCAGCAGTCAGTTTTCAGGCATTCTTGTGCTAAAGCTGGTCTTGGAATCTGTGCAACTAGAGAGCATTCCCTTTTGTACATCCCATTGCAACAGCTTGTAGATGATGCAGCAGAAGCTGATCTGACAAGAGCACGTTCTGTGGTTCTTCAGACTGTTAAGCTTCAAGGCTGCTGCAGGGAAAGGCCGTGGTGGCACTGGTGTGTTGTTGCTTGGTTTCCACAGGACAAAATGGCATCGGATACATGATCAGTCTTAAAACGATCATTTTTAAGCCATTCTCACAGTATAACATGAGTATGGTAGTGTCAGTTGAACCATACTGATGCTGCAGTATATGTGCAGGCACAATTTCCTACCACATCTACTGAACCTAGACCCATTGAAAGGAGTGGCCAGATGACACACTCCCATTTCCATTTCCAATGGGTGACGGTGTTCTTGTTGATCAGCCTTTTCCTATTAGAGAACAATATTTTAAACTCTTTTTTAAAACCTGGATTTAATACATGTATTGCCATTCTGTCCCAACCGAACATTCAAACTGGCTTACCATTCAAAACAACAGGGGGAAAAAAAAACCAGACGCCAGCCAGTTTAAGACAGTGTTGTGTGCTTAGATGGTATGGTGGAGAAGGATCCTTGTGGCACATGGCTCATTCTTGTTGGTCTCCATTCAGTTTTGAAGAGCAGAAAGACCGTAAAACCTGTTTTTCAGACTTAACAAGAAGAATGAAGCTGTACACCACATACCTGCAACGTTTCACACACTGGAAAAACTAAAACATCAAAACGCTTTGCTTGATTTGTAATTTATTATGGCCAGAATAAAGCCCAATAAATAAATATAGCCAAGTCCTGTGTGGTGGCTGCCTGACAGTTTGTCAAAGTTACAGACTTCTGGTTGTGTGCGTGTAATCAGTTCTATATTAGAGACTGCTGCCAACATCTATGGACGATGGTAAAGCTGTAAAAAACAGAAGATCTGTCCAAATGCTTGATAGGCTGCGATAAGTAGTTGATTTTCCAGAAACAACCTGGGGGCCAAGTATGTAGTAGTCCAGTCTTAAGAAGAATACTTCAATGGGATGCTATGGAAAAATATTGCCAATGGTTTGCTATGAGCAAGCCTCCAGCAACGTGCAGTTTATTATTGGAGGAGATAGCAGCAGAGACCTACCACGCTGCAACTGTAACAAACTTCTGTGAGTCCTTGAAAATGGATCAAAGTTCAGGTAGGTCAAACTCTATGAGTAGCCTTCAGAATCTAGGGTTGCACTTGAGCTCATTCAGTAGAGTCCTGTGGTCCAGCAGATAATTTTATGCCCACTTACTTCATCCAAAAATAATTTAAATTTAGGTGTGCAACATAATTTATTAGAAACATGTTCTACAAAATTCTCTTCAACAAAAATGCTATTAGGACTCAGTCGATAGTCTTCAGTGAGGCAAATTGCAGGAAAACTTGTGCACGAATAACAACACATTAATTCCAAATACCAGATTCAGACCAAAATAATAAAAGAGCACATCTTAAAAACAAATCTTTTTTTTATAAAAAAAATCACCAAGTGCTCCTCTTGTCTTACAATATACAATCTCCAACCGTTTGCTCTCTTTCTCTGCTTGTTTGTAAAGTTAAGGAGCATCACATCAGAAAGTGGTGAGGATTGTAGGTGACAGAATGAACACAACAGGGACTCTGAACCATGATAAAATGCAAGAAATTCCCTATCTTAGTGCATGTAGTAAAGACCATATTTACAGGAGTGGGGAATTAAAAAAAGCTACTCCACAGCATACAGACCGCAAAAGTGCTCTGTGTCTACTTGGAGCCTGGATGTCAATAATAAATCCCCCTCCCCAAAAAAACACAAGGCCCCACTCCACTGAAAAATAAATTTATACTAGAAACTTGCTGTTCCTGACATATCACTTAATAACAAGCATCATATAAAAGGCAAAAGGCGTCACACAAATTTGGCACATGAATACTGCACAATTCAAAGGGCCTTATTTTTTCAATGTGATGTCAAAGATTAATGGAGATGGGGTAGCCATGTTGTTAAAACCAGGTTACTAGAGTGTGCAAAAAAAGGGGGCTGGAAAAACAAGTTCTACTGAGGTGAACCCAGCACTAGCAACTTTAGAGGGAAACCCAGACTCGTGATGCTGGGCAACCCAGTTGCTTTATGTTTCCCTCCTCATAGAGTTTACAAAGGATTTCCCCATGCTTTTCATTCTGTGTATGAGAGTTAGCAGCTTTATGACAATTATTTCTCTTTTCAAGTATTTCAAAAGTCTCATCTCTTCTGCAGAACCATTTGTACTATCAACATTGGAAGCTGTGTGATACTTGCTACTGGATGCAGGTCTATATCTACATCAGGGATGGGGAACAATGGCCCTTTCATGGCTGGCTCAGGAATTCTAGGAGTTGAAGTCCACAAGTCATAAAGGGGCCATTGTTCCCCACCTCTGATCTACACAAAACAAGTCTGACAGGAGAAGGAAGAAAATATATGAAGAAGTCAGCAGACGATATACAGAAAGAAAAAAAGAAAGTGAGAAAGAAGGGGCATAACAAGGAGGGGTGCACAAAAGTGGGTCCCTAACACTTTACCCACAAATGCAAAATATACATCAAACAAAATGGCCACCAAGTGAAGAGCTCTACACATCACCACATTGGCTGCTGTGATTTAAAATGGCAGTCATGTTGGCCAATCGGTCTCATGATGGTGATGTTAGTTTAAAAAGAAGGGAGTAAGAATAGTTTAACTAGTCACAAGTACTGATCTCCTTGCATGAAGCTGACTTTGGGTGACTCTTGCCTAAGAAGCACTGCTGAAACAGCCAAGGCTTGAGCAAGAGCAGGGGGAAGAGGAAGGAAGAGATGTTATGTTTCATTAGCTTGCTGCTCTTAAACACAGCTGTTGCAGGAGCAGCTGAGTTTCAAGAGCAGTTACCTTCAGGTATACTTAGGACCAGGGAGTTAAGAATCTGCTTTCAGCCCCAGTGATCATATGGGTCTTGGCTTTTATTTATCATAGGGTAAAAAAAAAATGAAGAATCCTACAACAGCACTTTTGTGTTGGTGCACTTATGGCGGCCATTTTGTAAGCTTTCTATAGTAAAAAGGGTAGCCGGCTGACAGTATATGCAACCTAGAAAAATAATTACCTCGGATGTCACATGGAGGGTGCTCCAAAGTCTTCTTAAAGAGGCCTTTTCAATCCCATTTTTGCCTATATTTTTCCCCCTAAATTTGAACTTTAAGTCATCCATCAGAATCATCAAACATTCCTTAGAACAAGTATGATGACGTTGTGGCTGCCTAGAATCCCAGCCCACGGCTTCTGGGACAGCCAGTAACTATTTTGCCATCATTTCCCCCCTTCTCAGCTTGGAGGTAATTTTCTAAAAAGCATTACCTATTTCTTTTGAAGTTAAAAAATAATTGTATTATTGAGTGTTTTGAAATGGCTTCTTGTTCTTAATTAGCAGGCATTTAAAAGAATCATCAATAAACATATTTCCACTTAAAAACCCTATCCATTTAACCTCTTCTTGAAAAAAAAAACACCTCCTTGTGCAGTGCTTTTTGTTTTTACTGTAAACAGCAATTTACATGTCGATTCCTCAACTTCTAGATTAAGAGCTGTTAAAAATACCCTACGGCTTCTGATCCAAACTTTTCTTTCTGCTACTTAAAACACGATTGGAATTTAGCTTTACGTGCACACTTTCACAGTAGGTAGGACTAGGAGAGGTTGGAAGGAGGAAATATTAATTATCTGGAGAGAAAAAAAAAGATGACTCAAAATGTCAGTAGCCAACAAATTCATTGTTGCAGCGAGAGATGCCTCATACCCCTATTAAAAACAAAAATGGACAATAAAATGAAACCAAAACCATACCACCTCGTGATTTCTTTCTTGGAATGGCTGCTTTTCTTGAGAGTAACATGGCTTCATGTTTATGGTCAACAAGAGAAGAAGAACAGAATAAAGTGCTTTCGTGGGGAAACTCAACAAAATAAATAGAACTATTTCATGGCAGGAAAAAAATGGACAGTGATCTCCAGCCAGTTTTTCTGAAGATACATTTCCCCCCATAACTGTGCCCCAAAGCAATTTGTATCCCCATCACAGATTTCTAGAAGTGGCTTCAGCAGCAGAGTCTAATTTCCCTGTATATTCATCCCTTCTTCTCAATGCTTTGTAAATCTTGGACGAGAAGCAAGCTAAATGCTCCTCCTCTTCCTCCTACATTGCTTTCATCCCGTTGGCAGTGACAGTCTCGGTCACTCCATCATTTACGGTTGTCGAATCATGGAGGCCAGAGTAATCTTTAAGTTCAGAGTTCGTCAGCAGCAGGGGCTGCTCCCCCTTCTTATGCGGTAGGAGAGGCTGCCGGGTATAATGTTCACCATCTGGAATGTTCTCTGGCAGGTTCTGGTTTTTGCTCTCTGGCAAGAGGAGAATGCAGATGATGCAGATGAGGGTGCAACAAGCAAAAATCACATGGTGGAGGAAGTAGCCTTTCTGGTTGTGAAGTTCCATGATGGGTGCTGTCAGCATCCCAAAGCCTGCACTAGCCAGGACGAGGCCAAGGCCACCACCCCTGTGGAAGCAAGCATAATTCTTCAGTATAGGCCAATGGTCCATGCAATAATGTAATAACATTAGAATAGCTGCCCTTGAGCATCTGCTTTCATGGTACAACCCCTCCTCCTTATCTCTGAATGCAGCTACTTTATTTAATACTTTTGTTTAGTATTAAATATATAAACAAATATATAAACATGTTTTAACACCCAAAAACTCAACACAATTTGCAACCATTGAAGGATTACAATAAAACGGTAAGAGGAATACATATGGAACAGAACCTTTTAATTACTTAACTGAATTATAATAATGATGGCAATTAGTCATCACAAATAATTTTCCCAGCATCTGCCTGGAATATAAAAGTCACCCAATTATATCCTTGACCCTAATAGAAGCCAAGAAACTAGTCCTCTTACTATTGACTTTTTAATATTTGGTTACACAATAATGAGAGAACCAAAGGTGCACCATAGCCAAGTTCTGAGGACTTATCTACATTTGTTGGTCTCCTACCAAGGTTGGTACGGGTCATAAAAGTAAAAGGAGTAGCTGATTGGCTAATAAGTGACAATAAGTGACAACAGTTGACAACAACAAACAGTCATGGAATCTAATCGTTTCCTTCAAGAAATATTTTGAGACATCAAATGAATTTTTTACGGAATAAAGTCTTATTGTGCCAAGCCTTTGCTTAGATGTTTAATACTCTCTATCCCTGTGATTCATTGTATATGTATACTTCGCACATATTTGAGTAAAATGCACAAAAACCCGAACAGTTGCATATAGGTGAAAATTACTTCATAACTCGGTTCTAGCAATAATCAGCAGAAATGAGGAAGTATTACAATGACATGTTCCGCTGTCTGCTTTAAATCTTCATTTATCATCAAGTACAATCCAAAAATAGGCAAATATATTATTAAAACTAGTAGAATAACTTTAAATGCCCTCCTCCCTCTTTCTGTGTATTTATGTGGGCATGCTTTAACTATTTTTCTATTCCACAGATCAATCTTTGTTTTCTACCAAAAAGAAAAAGAAAAGAAAAGAAACTTGGAACTTATGTAATTCTTTGTTTTATCACTAGAGAGCAAGCTTTCCTCAAATTTATTTTATAAGCACTATAAAAGCAAGGAGCTGGTTTACTGGAAAAAGATATACTGATGACAGGCTTATTTAACCAGCATGCCTGCTCTCCTTTCACTCTCATATTTTATATGCACTATAAATTTGAAAGTCCTTCAGGACCTATCATTTTTTAAAAAAATGTTTCTTTTAGCTAATGAATTAAGTACATATGAATGTGTGCAGACCAATGACAATACTGGCCTGGATCCAAATATAACAAATGCAATGACAGATGGTTTAATCACAAAGCAAACTCTCAGAGATTTCTAAAAAAAATTTTTTCCCTAAGTGTGACTCTCTGGATTTAATACATTATTCAGAATAAAACCATCCTTTGATCAAACAGTGGAAGACAGAACAATTTCTATCCACATTTTCCATACTATCCATGAATTCAGATACTTTTGTTATGTCCACCTTTACCTATCTTTTATCTAAGGTCAGCCTCCAAAGTTTTTTTTTTAAGGAAGGTACCAAATAAATGTATCTGCTGTTTTCTCCATCTTTCTTTTATCTCTCTGTAACAGTCCTCTTGAGATCAAGTGATCACACTCTTTCAGCTCCTGAAATTCAGTCTGTGGAATTTATTATCCACTGACTTCTGGTAGTGCTTAAAATCAGGAATCTGTAAGAATATATTGGCTCTGTCAGGATTCTAAGATAGGCTTTTTTTTGGTGAAAAATGTTTTTACTTATATATTCACACTTTAGGGAGTTTCCAAAAGCTGCTCCTATATTTTCATGAAATATGCACATATACTTCAATGGAATAGGGAATATGAATGAGAATCACTCCCAAATAATTTCAGGGATTACTCTCTCACACATTCTGATTGCTATCTCTCTCACTCTCTGAAATGATTGGGAGTGATTCTCCTTCAGCTTCGTTTGAATTTTCTGCTTGTCCTCTTTGCACAAACAATAAAGTAAAGGACAACATAAATCCAGGTTTTTCTATCCGGAATGAAGAGAGAAAATGTGACATAATGATAAAGGTGCTGGACTAGAAACAGGGAAAGCCAAGTTCTGGTTCCTCCCCTAGGACAGAAGCCAACTGGATTGGCCTTGAGCAATCACTCTCTCCATCCAAACCAGCAAACTGCATGAAAAGTACAGTCCTTGTCACAGCACACACTGATAAGCTTCACTGAAACAATGAGGCGAGTTCTTTCAGTGATACTAAGAAAAACAGACTCTTAGAAGAGACAATTTCAATTCCCACCCGTTTGCCCAGATTCTGATCTGGGTAAGGAGATTGAGAAATGTTTCAAATGGGAAAGGCCCAGCTTCTTAGCACCTGTACCCTCACTGAACCTTTTTCTTCCCTCATAAATACCTCATCCTATTGAAAAGAATTCTGCTTTCGGTAACCAAAATACACAGTTATTCCACACCAAAAAAATACTACAGGAGATTTAGGGTGTTCACTTTGCGAAGTGTTTGGACGCATATCTAATTATCAGTCCTTTGTAATGTGGAATTAGGATTCTTCAGAGATGTTTAACTGCTTAGCAGCCAGAAGCTGGAAAAAGCAACCAGACTTGGGGGATCGGCATTTATCTCAGGAGTGGGGAACTATGGCCCTTTTTTGACTTGTGAACTTGAGTTGCCCAGAATTCCTGAGCCAGCCAAGTCATAAAGGAGCCATATGAATGAATGAAACTGTATTGAAGGATCTCTCCACTTCTCTTTACAGCAGGGGTCTCCAACCTTAGCAACTTTAAGACATGTGGACTTCAACTCCCAGAATTCCTCAGCCAGCTTTGCTGGCTGAGGAATTCTGGGAGTTGAAGTCCACAAGTCTTAAAGTTGCCAAGGTTGGAGACCACTGCTTTACAGTTCGGTTTGAAATTGTTCACAACATATCTTTTCTTGTAACAACACAAATTTTTAATAAATGTCAGTAACTGCCCCTCCAGTCAATGCCTTTGATTTTTGAAAGCTAAAAATGTTTTTTTATGAACTTATCTTCATCAAATTTAGAGCCCGTGAATTATACAGCTTAGGAAAATTAACAGGAAACATCGAGACTCAGAAATACAATTTTAATGACGCTGGTTCATTGTAAAGAATAGGGTATTGAGAAGATTTTATATTGGTTCGATTTGAGTTATCCGTTCTTGAAAATCAAACTGGGTTTATATTCTAAAATAAAGCTAAAAATATTTTCCTAATAACTTTAGCAAGAAAATAATTTAATATTTTATGCCCTTCAAATTTTTCCTTTTATCAACAGAGCTAAAGGAAGCTTAATCTTCTCCCTTCCAATATTAATTCGATTTACTACAAAGTTATATAATAACAGTATGCAAAAAATTGTATATCCATCATCTCACTAATATTTACAATGCCCCGTAACTACAGTGTTCATGATAGCAATACAGATGCAAAGTCTAATATAGTTGCTAATATCTCATTTGCTGCAGGCAAAAATAACAGCAATAATACATGTGTTAACGGTATTGGAACAGCTTACATTCTGTGACAATACCTTTAGCACAGCCACATTTGCCTATCCCGGATCCTTGGAAAAGACTCGATAGGTTGATAAAAATGCCAAATCCAGTCTGAACATTTGGCTGACTGCGTGACAAACAACAACAATAATAATAGTACTGATATGAGCAGGAGCACTGGTGCTACTTGAAACAATGCATGCGTTACAATTTATTTCACTATCCTAAATTTTTGGGAAAGATCTGATAGTCAAAAGTACTAAATCCAGTCAGAGATATCTGGAGGGACAAATAGACTGAGAGGGATGATTGGTCCCGGAATAAGAAAACTCATCATGGCCAATTCATCAAGGCCAACTCACCATGGCCAACTTGCCATGGAACAATTCGCTGCAGGACAATTCAACAATTCAACTTAATTATTTAAAATAATGTAAAAATTATTTTAATTTTTCTCATTCACATTTAATTTTTCCCTCCTTTGGCACTCTTTCTTTAATGCTTCTATTCCACTATTTCTTCGATATTGTTGTAACTCTTGTCCCACGGCAAATTGTCCTGCAACAAATTGGCCATAGCAAGTTGGCCATGGCAAACTATTGTAGACCACACTGTTCCAATGTCGCCCAGATGGGCTTATTGCATATGGGATGACAAGGTCCTAGGTCTCTCTCCAAGCCTAGACAGTCCCTCAACCGCTACACCACATTGGCTCGCCTTCAGTGAAGCTTCCTCTGCAGATTATAACCACTAGATCAGGGGTCTCCAGTTTTGCTGGCAGGGGAATTCTGGGAGTTGAAGTCCGCCAGGCTTAAAGTTGCCAAGGTTGGAGCCCCCTGCACTAGATGATGCAAATTCTCACCAAAGCTAATGGTAGTCACAAAGCACCCGGCAACTGCCATCAAAACCTGGACAGACCATTCAACCGCTAGCAATAAAATTATGAAATCCACCTTTATTTTATAAAAAAAATCATTATATTTTTGTCTAAGGAGCTCAAGCCATCACATGACCCTCCAAGAAACAATGTCTCCTGCCTTTCTTCTTGCAACAACAGAATAACTCTGCAAATCATATGATGGTGAGAGGGAGGTTTTTTTTTTAATTTAAAATGTAATGATAAGAGAATATTAAGTCAATATATGCAACAATTTGATTCCATCATTATGAATTGATTAAAAGTGTACATATTGCTTCTTATGTACACACTCCTGTAATGGTTGGCCACAAAAGTGTAAACAATAAAGCCAGGTAAAAAGAACAATAGTGAGGTAACTGGACATGCCAAATGTTTGGTTTGCCAATATTCTGAAGAACCTTATGGCATGGAGAAGACCTTTTAAAAAGAATATGATTGTGATAATCCCTTCAAAATCAGCATTTTGATTGGACTAGAAGACAAGGACTAAGGAGAGACAGATTAAAATTTCTATTAAACAAAAAGCTCCCTGAATATTTTTATTCTTTTTATATTAAGCCTGTTAATTCATTGATAACTGAAAGCTTCAGTATTCCCCAAGCTCAAATCATTTTATGACGCTCAAAGAGACACTGGGATAACTATGTACAACTGACTGGAATATAGATTAAACAAAAAGAAAAATGCAGAGGACAATTGGAGAATAACCACAATCATTTCCAATTATAGCAAACAGCTTTCCTTTCATTAGATTTAAGGATCAAAGTTACCGTATGGACTAATCACAGGTGGTATACAAAACAACAAAACTAAACAATGTCCTTACTAGTTTTTGGAACTTTACATAACAATCATAAGACTCAGTTGCCCCAAAATGTCTAACCCTAAAACTAGTTGATCGGAGGATCAATGTCTATTTAAGGATGGAACTCTTCCTAGAATGAACTCTTTATTGAAATACCTTATTACTGTTGGAGTGATCTCTGCACAGAAGAATACACTCAGACTTCCAACTGCGTGCGATGAAAACATCCCCACGATGGAAAACGCAATGGAGAATTTGTCCTTTATGGTGTCACTCATACCTGTTTAGAAACATGCAAATATGTCATTTGCATTCAGCTCTCAAGGACTGGCAGCTCCCTGTTCAAAGTGCCCCTCTACAAACTACAACTGTGGGCTCTTGTACACATTTAGGAGAGTACAATGAAGAGAAAGTATAAGGCAATTTGAGGGCCATTATGGATGTTCATTTGCCTTTGTGAATTGGTGCCTTTGAATCAGTGTTGATTGCTGGTGACTGCATGGACTAATTCCTGCAGTTTGCTTGGCAAGGTTTTGGAAGTGGCTTGCCATTGTCTTCTTCCCAGGCTTGAGAAAGCATTTATTGCCCCAAGGTCACCCAGCTGGCTTCATGCAGGACTAGAACTCACAGTGTCCCAGTTTCTAGGGCAGCATCTTAACCATAGCACCAAACTGGCTCTCTTATCTCTCATCTGAAGTATGGAGAGATAAACCTGCCTTTACCAACCATCCATGGCACTGAGAATAAAAATGACCTCCCATTCTTATGTAATTGTAATTAGTCTAAAAGAGAGAAAAAAACAGGACCTTGTTACACATGCAGGTAAAACATGCCTTTGGGCTCAAGAAATAGATATTCCCATGCCATGAAAGTCAAGGCTGTGCAAATTTAGGAGGTGGGGCTGCCCAAGGAAGTGCTCCAAAAAGGAGACACAACCAGGAGAAAGTCTAAACTTGATTCATTTAAATTTACATTTGATTAAAATTAATTACACATTAATATTACAGATACTGTAGTTATTCCCCATATGTCTGATGTTTTCCCTTGTTTTGTTACTTGCACTTTTGTGGGAGTTTTTTTTTTTGGGGGGGGGGGAGGTGCCTTGACCAATAAGGTTTCTGCCTGTTCACCCCGATTTAAAAGTATGCTTGTTGGGGAAGTTAAAACACAATAACAATAGATATTAAATGGAACCAATGGACAAAGCTATGCTGAAATAAGGGAATAATATGGGCGAAATAGGATTTTCTAAAAACTGGCTTATAGTACTTAAAATGGTTGAAATGCACCCCCAGAGCAAGAAGATTCAGTAACATTAATTAAATCACATTTTAAAACTGATTTGGAAACGATACCTGAGTCTGGAAGTTGACTATATTTTCCTATCACTGGATTCCGAACGATAAGATGATTAAAACATGGGAAACAGAAAAAGAAGAAAGATCATATGAAGAAAAACACACATGCAATTGCAGTTGTTTTAAAAAATTACAGTGTAGAATTGCTCCTCTAACTACCCCAGCACATTTGTTGTTGAACGATTTGATAAAGTGGAAATACATCCTTTTCCCAGAGGGCCTGGCCTGCCATTAAATCTCCAATTCCCAATAAAAAGATAGAATTCTAATGAGATGATAATAATGATGCATAATGGTGAAGGATTACAGGCCTAGAAGGAATGCAAAGGCTCAACAAAAGCTTTTATATTGGTAAAGTAGGGAAAATAGAAAATATTAGACAAAGATTCAGTATTAAAAAACCAAACTCTTTCAAAATTTTAGGCAAGTGTCACTGGAAGGGACCTCCCACAAAACCTTGTTATTGTAAATATTAGGACTCAACCCTTCTTGAATGCTTACATGTGGAAACCTGATCTCCACTTTTTTTCCTGTTTCTCAAGACATCTTTGGGTTATTTCAATATTATTTTATGCAACACTATATAAAATTTTACAAAGCTGCTTTGCTGTCATTTGTATTTATATGAAGGTAACATTTCCTTGGAGTTAAGCTTGACCTGTGTGTCTACATGGATAATATCCATGCAGTTGAGAAACAGAATGGAAGTTATTTGTTACTGTCTTCTTCCAAAGAAAAGTTTCCCTGTCTACCCTATAGGCTGAAACTCTCTAATGTTCTTCCTTCCACATGTATGAAATGTCTACAATCCTTCTTAGCTTTTGAATGCCAAAAAAAAATAATCATCATTTTGCATCTGCTAAGAGCTGTATGTATGGTATGTTCAAAGTTTGATGGGAGGCATAAATCGTATGGCGCTTCTGCTAGAATAGGCCTCCCAAAAGCCTGGTGCCATATTTCATTATATCTGTCATCGTCAGAATCACCTAATCGTAACAATCTCTTACTAAAAGGCACACAAGGCCAACATTAATTTAGGCTTTGAAAAGGGAAAATAGTATTGAATTAAAAAAAAATAGATGGTTATAACTAGCAGCTTTCATGGCATAAAACCACAAGTACACAGGGCACAACTATCATTTTATAATTTGGTCTTTCTCTCAGAAGGAAGCTTTTGGAGTGTGTCAGCGCATTGCGTGAGCCTTCTAGCTAGTGGAATGTCAATATATTGGCTTGTAAGGTGGTATCCAGAGATCCTAGCCTGCACAGAGTAGCTTGCCCTACCTGGGGTAAAACTGGCATTTGTGGTATCCTGACTAAAATATCTAAACCAACACCATGACCAAAATATCTAAATCAACACTGTGATATGCAAGGGTAGAGATGCAGTATTTAGTAATAGGCATTCTGATGTGAAGAATGAAAGGCTATCAAAAGAAATAAAAATGGCTACGTATTAAAATGTGCTTCTGCTTTGTTATATCTGAGAATAGGATATGGTAGGGGTGTCAAACTCATGTCGTCACGGTGACTTTTCCCCTCTTCACTAAACTGGGTGTGGGTGTGGCCAGCATGTGATGCATCTGCCCCGCAGGCCGGGAGTTTGACAGGCCTGGGTTAGGGCAAGGGAAACACAATGCATATTGAACGCAGTGGAAATAGTGTTCTTAGCATGCATGTAAAAGAAGAGATTGAGTCAGGTTTGAGTGGGTAGTGTCTGAATGTGGATTCAGTGAATGAGCCACATGACAAAAGTATGTTGATGGTTTGGTCGTGTAGAGAATGCAAATCAAATCACAAAAGAAATATATAAAGTGTGTCTGGATTGAGGGGAAAATGAAATCAAAGGAAGTCACGCTTACATGGAGTTCAGAAAAGAGAGGTGAGAAATTTCAGGAGCAAAAGGCAATGTATGAAGAAGTGAATGGATATGGTAGAAGTGTTTGCAAAGATAGAAAGGTATGGAGGAATACAGGGGACGCTGTCGATGTACAATAATTTAACTATGCTTCCCTTTCTTTTCGTTTTTCTCATAGTTTGCACGTGTGTTGTTTAATAATTCATACACTTTTCCCCCTGAGCTTTGTGGAATTGGTGCTTTCCCAAAAGGGTAAGATATATATGAAAATGTGCAAATGAAAATGTGTATGCATAGGAAGCTAATGGAAAAATCAGAAGACTAAAAGGGCCTGGTTTGTTTTGTCAGAATGAGATCCAGTCTACCTGTTATTCACACTCCAAGGTGTTAGAATTTTCTGCCTTTAATTACAACATCTCATGCTGGTTACAGTGTGACTTCCTTTGTAGCACATGGATAACTGCCTCAGTAAAACAAGACGACGGTAGTCTCCATTGGAGAAAACTTGATACAGGCAATCCTTGTTTAGCTACCACACTGAAGCTGGCAACCTGATTGTTAAGGGAAGTGGTTGCTCAGTGAAACCGTAACTGTGGTTATGATGTTGCTTGTGTTTTCCTTTGCTTTACTGACCTGCAGAGGTTGTAAATGCTAGATAAATCATTTTTCCATCCCTGACATAACTGCAAGCAGCCACTGAATGAGGTAGTGGGAGTTATAGAGCAAAACAGCAAGGATGGCCCAAGACTGCATAATGCCTGAGACACATTGCTAAATACAGTAGCCAGTTGGATGCAAGGCATTCTTTACTTCAACACACAAGCAATGGGTTAGCCTCCTCCATGCAACTAATGGCTAACGTTGACTTAAAAGATCCAAGGTAAACTGCATAGCACACAGCACTTCTAACCTCTAACACCCACTCCTTTCTCCAGCATCTGTCACCAGAGTCAGCTGCTTCACTTTGCTTAATGACAGAGCCCTCTATAGCAGGGGGTCTCCAACCTGGGCAATTTTAAGATGTGTGGACTTCAACTCCCAGAATTCCTCAGCCATCCTTTGCAAAGGAGCAAAGCTGGCTGAGGAATTCTGGGAATTGAAGTCCACATGTCTTAAAGTTGCCACGGTTGGAGACCCCTGTTCTATATAGCCTTGCTAGAAGTTAAATTGGGAAGATGGGGAATCAACTACAACAGGGGTGTCAAACTGGCAGCCCGCGGGCAGGATGTGTCACACGCAGGCCATGCCCACCCCAGCTCCGTGAAGGGGAAAACCATCGCGAAACGTCATGGGATGGCAACGCGATGCTGCGAATTGGACACCCGTGAACTACAATCAAGAAGACGAGGTAATACAGAGAGACTATATTAAGCTTTGGCAAAAGAAAGGTCTAAAAAAATGTACAAATTTACATTGTTCCTTCTCCCCCCCACCCTTTTATTCATAATCAGGGCTTCTAACTGCCCATTGTGCTGGTTCTCTTATCTTTGCTACCTACAACTAAGGGTCGTAATCAACTGGAAACCCTGCAGTAATCTGAAAGTCAGGGCCCAGCGAATCTGAACTAAGCTTCGCAACAATCCGATGCTGATACTCACAGTTGAGAAGGCCCAGTTGTAAAAGAGAAGCGAGTGCTGTGAGAATCATGAAGAGCAGGAGCCCCCCTCTTCTCCCGAGAAAACCAACCACTGGGCACATAGCCAGGCAGGATACCAGAGTGATGCTGGCCATGGTGTAATAGTCTGCATAAAAATTGTTGGTGAAGGACATCTTATCTTCATGACCCATCATACTCTTTGCAAAGCAGTGGTGTATTCCATATCCAGTCAGCCTGTGGGAGACAACATGAGACAAATAACAGGAACCATTCCTTTTATGACCGTATGCTAAATGATTACTTAAGACTATCATGTGGGCCTTAGCCCAATCCAGAGGTGGTATTCAGCAGGTTCTGACCAGTTCTGGAGAACCGGTAGCGGACATTTTGAGTAGCTTAGAGCAGGGATCCCCAACCGCCGGTCCGCGGACCGGTACCGGGCCGCGGAACAAGCCTTACCGGGCCGCTGGTTGCTGGGCGCCGCCATTTTTTTTGACGAAAAATCACTTCCGGTGACGTCACCGGAAGTGATTTTTCGTCAAAAAAAGATGGCGGCGCCCAGCTGACGCCGGAACCGGGCCGCGGCGTCGAAAAGGTTGGGGATCCCTGGCTTAGAGAACCGGTAAATACCACCTCTGGTTGGCCCCGCCCCCATCTATTCTCCAGAGTCCTAGCTGATTGGCTGGGTCTTCTTTTGTTGCCCTGCACAGGAGAATGGGGCTGGAAAGCAGGTTTGTATGGTGGGGAGGGAATGGGGATTTTACAGTATCCTTCCCCTGCCACACGCACCAAGCCACACCGCGCCCACCAAGCCACACCCACAGAACCAGTAGTAAAAAAATAAAAATGAATACCACCACTGGCCCAATCCCAAAGAAATAGATTTCCTTTTTAAGAATCATGGGGGCGGGGAGGAGAACCGTGACTGATGTATTTCTCCCATTTGCTTGGATGTCAGGAGAAAATTTAGCTTTATCATACCAGAATTGTTCTAGAAACATTAAGGAGAGCTTGGTATGTGGACCTCTATATGCCAAGACTTGGCACGCAAGCTACAGTGCCATTCAGTTTAAACTGCCTACATGAGAAGTTTCTTCCCCCTTGTGGAAAAAGACACCGTCGCAATAACTAAGCAACATGCTACAGAAAACTGTACATGAATGCACTTGGTTCCCAAAGATTTGCTTAGATTCATGATGGAACAATAATTCTGCTCAATATATCTATATTGTTCCACCATGAATCTAAGCAAATCTTGGCACGGAACAGCTGCAATTTGCAATTAAGTAGTACCTGGTGGGAATCTTTTTTTATCTTCAGTGTCTGATATCTGCTGGTATGAAATACCCAAAGCTGTGAAAACCCTTGTTAAAATATACATATTCTGAAACATGCTTAGGTTATGCAGATAAAGTGAGCTGCATTGTACTCCTCCTTTCCTTTAGGGAAAGAACAAGGAACGGTGCAGAATAAAGAAATCACACCCTTGTCCATGAGAAATGAGCTGCTTTTTTCAACATTATTTCACCGATCATGGACCAAATCTTGGAAGACAATGTTTACAACCAAAAGGGATTATAAACTTGTTTAATTTCTTTAAAGCAGTTTCAAATAATGAATTCTAAACTAAAAGACATTTTTTTCTACTCTAACAAAGAACTGCAGAATCTAAAGGCTAACATAAAGCCATGTACCAAAGCAATCTTGCCATGAAACCTCATAGTTTGTCTTTCCCACAATGAACAATTTACATTAGGTTAGCGCATCAGTTAACACAATCAAAAGAGCAACCAATATTTGGATAATTTATTTTGTTAAAGAATCGTTTCCTACAAGAGCCTGATAAATTAGCCCACAGTCTCTACCCACTACAGGTAGTCCTGTATGGCATATGACCAAAATTGAGCCCAACATTTCTGTTGTTAAGCGAGCCAGTTGTTAAGTGAGTTTTGCCTCATTTTACAATTTTTTTGGCTACATTTGTTCAGTGAATCATTGCAGTTGTTAAGTTAGTAATCAGGTTGTTAAGTGAATCTGGTTCCCCACTGACTTTGCTTGTCAGGAGGTCGCAAAAGGGGATCACATGACCCCGGGACACTGCAACCGTCATAAGTATGAGTCAGTTGCCAAGCATCTGAATTTTGATCACATGGCCATGGGGATGCTGCCACAGTCATTAAGTATGAAAAATGGTCATAAATCATACATCACTTGTTTCAGTGTCCTCGTAACTTTGAACAGTCACAAAATGAATTGTCGATAAGTCGACGAATACCTGTATCGGTGATGAAGAGTTCCTGAAATCATAGTGGGTTGATATCTCCATAGACAACCCTTGTTCAAACATCCCAGGCAGCTGGATGTTTGAAAAAAAAATACTCTGTATTTGAGTGATATGAGATCTGCATCAGGCATAGTGGTAGAGCATTTAATGCTGCAGTCACCAAACTATGAACATGCCTATGCAATCATTCCTAAGATGGGTCCTAAAGAACGTTTACCATCCTCATTATTGAGATAAATAGATGCCTTACATAAAAATATTATGCCAGCAGGCAACCCATCTCCAAAATCAACCTGCTAATGCTGTTTTTTAGTTGTTTGCTGTTTGTTGTTACAGTCATTCAAGGGTGATATTGTTAAGGGGGAAAAAGCATGCAACAAAATAAGCAGTTCAATTTGAGGGGGCCAGGGGTATCTTCGAGTCAGTCATGGTGACTGCCTGAACTAATACCTGTAGTTTTCTCGACAAGATTTCAGAAGTGGTTTGCTATTGCCTGCTTCTTAGGGCTGAGAGAGAGTGACTGGCCCTTGGTCATCCAGCTGGCTTCATGTCCAAGGAGGGACTAGAACACACCATCTCCTGATTTCTAACTGCATTTATGATACTATTTAACCCAGAGGATGGCAGATGACTATTTTTCTTCAAAAAAATCACTTTCATGAAGAATAAATGAGCTTTGTTGTCATTTCATTTATCAGCTTAGGTACTTGCAGTTGTCAATGAAGCATCTACATCTACACATTGTTTTAGCTGATTTCTCTCCTCCTTTGTTAGGTGGTCATATTTTTCAATGAGATTTCAGTGAACTTTGCAGCAAAGATTATGGGACCTTAATAGTGCTAAGGGAGTCACTGAAAAAGTTTCAAGATGAAACTAGCAAATAAATAAGCACACACATATTTGTATAAGCAGGACGGAAGGCAGAGTAATTTTGTGACTGCTATTGTTAAACAGCTAGAATCTCCTCTCTTCTAAATCATTGAGAGAGCTATTAGTCATAATTGTCTCAAAAGTACTTTAAAAAAAAACAACTGGACTGTTTTTTTCCATGCATATCTTTGGCCAGCTTGTTTTAGACTTTGTCTCATCTCAATTGGAATCATAGGAAAACCAAACCGGAAAAGCCACTCTCATGGAATGGATGGTAAGATGCAAAGCAATTAAAACAAATTCTTCTGCTGTAAACTGCCTCTTAACAATGGTAGGAGTAGCAATTCTGGTGTAAAATATACATGCAATGCTCTGTCTGCATTTAGAGCAGGGGTCCCCAACCCTCAGTCCGTGCACTAGCACTGGGCCGCAGCCAGGGGTGGGATTCAAAAATCCCAACAGCCAGTTCTCTGCCCTGTTGCCATGGTGGGCGTGGCCTACCGGAACTTCTGGGAGGGCTGTTTTTTTGCCTTCCCCAGAGTCTGGAGGCTTCCCTTGGCCCTCTGGGAGGGCTAAAATGGTCTGCCCCGGGCTCTGGAGGCCCTCCAGAAGCTGGAAATAGGCCCATTTCTGGCCTTCTGGAACTTTCGGGAGGGCCGTTTTTCACCCTACACTTACCCTCATTCAAAACGGGCCGCGTGGAGACTTCTGGGAGAGGCAAAGTGGATGGGGCCAGCCGGTCGGTTCAACTATTGGTTCAGCGAACCAGATGTAAATTTAACACCTGGTTCACCCAAATCGGCTGAATCCCACCCCTGGCCGTGGCATGCCAGAAACTAGGCCGCGCAAACAAGCGAAGCCCCATCTGTGGGATGCAGACCACGCTCCCTCCGGTCCACGGAAAAAAGTCTCTCCACAGAACCAGTCCCTGATGCTCAAAAGATTGAGGGCCACAGTTGTAGAGAAAAGGCAGGCAGTTTTCTATTATTATTATTCACTTAAAAAGGTCTAACATCCAAGCTACATGGGTTGCTAATGGTGCTAACAGATAGAACATTTTCGCTATTTTCCTCATTGTCCATGGAGGCGCTCTTCATAATGTTTCTGCAAGGCCCATTCATACTTACGAATTGATGCAGAGCACAACAATGTTTTTCCACAGGTTTCTTGTTCCCACCACCTTAACAATGCAGACTTTTTTTGGTCTCCTGGCAAGCTCTTTCTCTAGTTCTGAAACAAAAGCAACATTTCATTATTTAAAAGGTAGGCATTTGGGAACGAGGCAGATCAGCTCAGCGGAAAGGAGGAAGTTCTAATTAAAGCTCCTTGTCTCTTTTTTCCAAGGTTCCGTTAGACAGTGAATTGTGTTTAAACCACACGTCCCCATGATTTCTGAGGTTTGGGAACCATGCAACAGAAAAAAAGAAAGTAATACGGCTTTCCCTAATCTTGATCTCATTTCTGAATTAATAATTAATTGAACCTATCCCCCTTTTCTTTTTGCGCTATCAAAGCCTTGGAGAGTTTTACGATTAGATTAAGGAGGCATAAATTTCAGGATTATGTTGTGATTTCCACAACCACAGCTGGCAGGAGATAAAATTAAAGAATTCTTAACCCAGTTATTTGGTTTGATTCCCAGAAAGGAACAGATCTTGTATGCTCACAAAAATCTTAATAAGAAATCTGGATTTCTTATTTCAGCTTAGTATAGTTTTGGCAATGTACAATCTCTTTGTTATTCCCTTCTGCCCATTCTTGAATTAAATGTTCTATCTTGAGAGTTGTTAACCCTGTTAAAAATGAATGAAGCCACAAAAACGTTTTGAAATGGACACGGATTTGGAACTAGGGCAGGCTTATAAAGCCAGTCAATTACCTCACCATCTTTGGCAAATTAGAAATGCCAGTAGTTGACCAGGCAGATTAGAGAGGTGGGTTTTTATATATGTATTTGTTACTAATTTGAAGATGAGAACTGTTGGACTACTGAACATTTTCTGAGGTTTAGCATTTCTTCTAAGTTTTATATGCAAGACTCTGTTCCTAGATACTATATAGTCACCATATTGAACTACCTGATATTAATGTGTCCATTCAAGTTGGAATTAATATGCATTGAATACAGGAAGGAATAACTGAATAACACAATACTCTTGAGACTGTGATGTTGTCTGGTGGGAAAAAAAAGCTGTGTAGGGGAATTATTTGGATCTACATATTGGGAGTTGATAATTCCTTCCCGTCTCTCCTTTCACAACCAAGAATAAAAAAGATTCAACTTTCATACCAGGAAGTAGCAATAGCAATAATAGCACTTAGGCTTATGTACTGCTTCAGTGCTTTATAGCCCTCTCTAACCGGTCTACAGAGTCAGCATTTTGCCCCCAACAATCTGGGTCCTCATTCTACCGATCTCGGAAGGATGGAATGCTGAGTCAAGGTTAAGCCAGTCAGGATCAAACTCCTGGCAGTCAGAAGAATTAGCCTGCAATATTGCATTCCAACCACTGCGCCATCATGGCTCTTATCTCGAAAGTCCAAATAAATAACCATCTGAATTAGCACAGGAACCATAAAAGCACTAACAGTCAATTAGCTTTCAATGTCCAACCAAGCCATATTCTCAAACAATAGAAGAAGAGGGAGGTAAAACCTTCTGGATATTTTATATTTTGAAATAGGATTTTTCCATTTATTATTCTAGTATGCTTTTTTCATATCTAATTCATTTTGCCTAGTTCTATGATTTCTATTTTATCATTGTTAAGTCTGACCCTATACAGAAAAATGGTTTTCTCTTTAAAATTTTTTAACTTTCAGCTTTAAGAAGACTTCTGCGTAGCTTAAAAACTTCTACGACCAAGCCATAAAAACAAGCAAAATAAAGATAATTGCTTTGGCATGCCCGTAGATTTATTTCCCCATTCCCTTGAATCTTTGTAATAAGTTCAGCCTCTCTCAAATTCTTGAATTAGTGAAACATCTCATAAGCAAGCACAGGAAATAGAATATAACATGAAGAAAAGACCAAAAGAGAAAAAAAGATTTTTAAATTCATCTTCTTATAAACATTATTGACTTTCTTAGATAGCACAGATAAGATAGGGTTGCGTCAACAAAATAATCAGACAGAAGGCCATTTCAGAACTGGTTTTACTTGGTTTTTTAAAAAAAACTATGTTTGTGGATATATACCGTTGAAAAAAACTGAAATGCCTGTAGGTTTTCAGTGTGACAGTCCTTTTACAGAAGCTTTTGTGAAAAGGAACAAGGATCTATATCTTTATTTTCAGAGGGGTTGGACAATGATGGTTTTCTGATTAGGCTTATCAAGAGGTTGTCGGCAATGGAGAGCCAGTTTGGACTAGTGGTTAAGGCACCAGGTTAGAAAGCAAGAGACCATGAGTTCAAGACCTGCCTTGGCCGTGAGTGTCTTTGGGCCAGTCATCCTCTCTCAGCCCAACTTACCTTACAGGTCTGAGGTTATGGGAGAACAGGAGGAGGAAAGTGTGTTGGATATGTTTACCACCTTTGAGTTATTTGTAAGAAAAGTAATAATAAAGATGGGATATAAAACAAACATGGCAAAACACATCATCTAATCAATGTGTAAATAACATAATGACTTCTTCTAAAACCTGTATTCTTTTCATACATATTCAGCAAACTTTTCTGAAAATTACCTTTCTATTTATACCTCTGCAACATAAAGGATAGATTGCCCAGTTCTGGTTTTTATTCAACACATGAACAAACAAGCATTATAAAATCTAGCAGGCAAGAAGTTCTATAATACCTCCATCAAAATGTGACCAGCAACTTTACATAGAACTCATGGTCTCTTGCTTTCTAACACATTTACTATCTTTATTGGTTCAGATAGATTATCCAAATACACTATATCGAAGCACAGCCCATATCACTCTCCCTATTGCATTTCGAAGAGTCCATTGTAGTATTTACTTTTTATTCTAAAGCAGCCAATGTTAATGTGGCTACAAATTAGTTTTTACAAACATCCAGCTGGCCATTTGATTCAGAAGCATCCTTCTCCCAAAATTCAGTTCATGGCAGCACACGAAATATGAATTCAAGGGAACACAAGGGTCAAATTACAATAGAGAACAAGACCATTTAAATGACAAGTGCTGTTCTATATTTCACTTTATAGAACAAAGTATCGAGCTGAGATAAGTAAGACATTTGGTGGGAAGGAAACCTAAGTACAGTATATATAAGGAGGTTTGGACAAGATGATGCTTCTTCTATTGTAATTCTTGAATCTGCTATACACTTTTCAGTTTACATAATCAGAGACCAAGTAACTTTCTGGAATAAATGAACATTATAGTCAATGACTTCTAAAATTATGCTGTGCAAAAATGAACAAAGTTACCACCTGCAGTTTATTTATTTATTTTGTCAAACAATTATTAGATAACAGGTATAAGTATAAACATGGTTATAAATACATGAAATGGATACAAATAAGAAAAAAAAATAAACAATAGGACAGGGATGGTAGGCATGTTTTGGTGCACTTATGCACGCCCCCTACAGACCTCTTAGGAAAGGGGTGAGGTCAATAGTAGACAGTCTAATGTTGAAGATTTTGGGGTTTGGGGAAGAAACCACAGAGTCAGGTAGAATATTCCAGACATTGACTACTCTGTTGCTGAAGTCGTACTTCCTGCAATCTAGTTTGATGCGGTTTATCTTTAGTTTGTATCTATTTCGTGCTCTTATATTGTTTTGGTTGAAGCTGAAGTATTCATTGATAGGTAGGACATTGCAATGTATGATTTTATATACTATACTTAGATCGGACCGGAGGCGGCGTACTTCTAGGTTGTCTAGGTCTAAAATTTCAAGTCTGGTGGCATAAGGTATTCTGCTACGAGTAGAGGAGTGGAGGATTCTTCTTGTAAAATATTTCTGGACTTTCTCAATTGTATTAATATCAGATATGTAATGCGGGTTCCAGACTGATAAGCTGTATTCAAGTATTGGTCTAGCAAATGTTTTATATGCTCTAGTTAGTAGAGTGATATTACCGGAGAAAAAGCTACTCAGGATTAGGTTAACAACTCTTAATGCCTTTTTGACTATGTAGTTACAGTGGGCTCTAGCACTTAGATAATTAGAGATGATTACTCCAAGGTCCTTGACAAAGTTTTTGTCATCAATAAGGTCTTGACTATTCAGCTTGTATTTTATTTTTTGATTTTTTTTGCCAATAAGTAAGACAGAGCATTTATTTGTTGAGATTTGAAGTTGCCATTTGTTTGACCATTCTGACATATAGTCAAGGTCTTTTTGAAGGGTAGCAGCATTGTCAGTGGTGTTGAATCATCTGTGAAAAGAACGCAGTTGCTCTTAATATGGGTCATTAATATAGAGTATGAAGAGAGTTGGTCCTAGAACACTGCCTTGGGGGACACCACTATTGACAGGTACAGGATTTGATAGGACGCTCCCAATTTTGTCCAATTGAGGTCAGCATTCCACGGCCACAATCTTGAGCAAAATACCCATTGCCACAAAATTATATTCCTAGTTTGTTTGTTTTCTTGTCTCTTTCTGGCTTTCTAAGATATTTTTTCCTAATGCTTGTCCTCTCATTACTTTAATTAACTTTTGAGATAGTTTAAAGGAAAAAAAGTGTTGTGATAAGGACAAAAAGGAGAGAGAGGTGGAGAGAGACGAAAAAGAATACCAATTGATTTGGTACAACTACAGAAACAGATGTGTCCTGTTTTTTAATATTACCTAAACAAAGCTTGCAAGATGTAAAATAGTGGTATATCTCTGCTAATGTGGTGTGTATAGATAGTTTAAGCCTTTTAGACCTGTGAAGCTGTTGATTGTTCTGTCTTCAAAGTAATATACCCAGATTATTTAGGTTATATTAAGCATTACAGGTAGTCCTTGACTTACAACAGTTCATTTAGTGTTCAAAGTTACAGCAGCATTGAAAAAAGTGATGTATGATTATTTTTCACATTTACAACCATTGTTTCACCATCCCCATGGTCACATGATCAAAAGTTCAGACGCTTGGCAACTGACTCATATTTATGACAGTTGCAGTGTCCTGGGGTCAAGTGACCACCTTTTGCGACTTTCTGACAAACCAGGTCAATGGGGAGGTCAGATTCACTTAACAAATGCCTGACTAAGTTAACAACTGCAGTGATTCCCTTAACAAGTGTGCAAGAAAGGTCATAAAATGGGGCAAAATTAACATCTGTCTCGCTTACCAACATAAATTTTGGACTCCAGTGTGGTCATAAGTCGAGGACTACCTGTACTTCTATATTCCATACTCTCTATATTCCGTACTTAATTTAGTTCTTAGTAATCAATTATTTACTCCGTATTTAGATATGGAACTTAATTGATGAGCCGAAACCTCCCCCATGAACCAAATAATTCTTTTCTCCATTTTGTTGGTTAAGTAACCTGAAGGAAAATAGCAGATGAGTTGTTATCCAGTTTTTTTTCCCCAAAGCAAAATTGTAATTTTTAAGCCACAATCGATAAAACCATCCATGTGTATTTTCACTGTCCACTTCAAACACTTACCAGGCATCACTCCCTTAATATTGTACTCTGCACTTGTTCTATTCCTGTGAGTCAGACGAAGGATGAGCTTCTTTGCAGCTTCAAACTGTTGTGTGGCCATCAGCCAGCGAAGAGATTCTGGGAAAATACTTCAAGGAGGGAGACAATGTGTTAGTGAAGGTTCTGAAAGGGTCACCAGTGGGTTTTTTTTTAAAAGGTTTTTTTAAAAAAATAAATTTTATTGAATATAAACATTAAAAAAATATTGACCGTGGTGGTCTTCTTTGAAGTACATTTCAGTCAAAAGATTTTACATTAGAAAAAATCAAAAGATATAAACATTTATATACATATATACATTTAAGCTTTGTACCTTTTTATTTCTTTTTCTTATACCTCAGGTATGAGGTCTCTCACCTCTTTTCTGTTTCATCTTAAATTCTTATTTCCATTTTGTGAACTCCCTTTCATGTCCCTCCAATAATAGAAGTTATTCCATACTTTATAATATTCTGATTTATCTTGTCCCTTCAATTCTAGTGTCAACCTATCCATTTCGGCGCATTGAAAAATCTTATCAGTCATAGCATCTTCACTTGGAATTTCATTTGCTTTCCTATTTTGGGAGAATATCATTCTTGGTGCCATGATTATGTGTATAATTAGATAGGTATCGACTTTGCTAAAGTTCTCTTCCATTATTACTAGTAAGAACATCTCTGGTATATAACTAGTATTTAACCCCGTCATTCCCTCTAGCCATGACCAAATTTTGTACCAAAACTCCTAAGTCTTTTTACATGTCCACCATACACGATAGTATGTTTTCAATATCTCCTTTTTCTGTCCGGATGTATTTTGTTTTCTTTTTTTAACTGAACTATGAGTAACAAATATTATCAAGTAGCTAAATTAACCCAAATCCAAGATACATAAAGAAAAATAGATACAAAAAAAAACACCCCTAAAGAGGAAGTGGAGAAACAGGTAGTATACATGTTCACACTTACCATATATTAAAGTATTATCCTATTGTGAGCTATTGTAATTGAGGTTAAACCATAAAATCCATCCAGATTTGGTAGAAATATGGTTGTCTCATTGGTTTAACTTTGCCTGTGATTTAAAGAACACAGGCTGGAAGAGAAATGGCAGAGGAAAAAGATGACAGTCTGGCTCCTACCACTATTTCTCTTGAGTTTCCATATGAAGCAGGGTTTTGCAACCTTGGCCACTTTAAGACTTGTGGACTTCAACTCCCAGAATTCTTTGCTGGCTGTGGAAGTTTTGCTGGCTGAGGAATTCTGGGAATTGAAGTCCACAAGTCTTAAAGTGGCCAAGGTTGGAAACCCTTGATATAAAGAGTGTCAGGGAAATTTGTGACCAAACACCTCATTTCTCCTCTAACATCTGGCTCCAAACATTCAGCTGTTACTAATGAACCACTTCTGAAAGTAAAACATCGCAGATACTTACAACCAGTACAGTAACATCAGCAGGAAAGGGCAGATGATCACGGCTTGGAGAATTTGCCAGTCCTTGCAGAGGGCAGCCAACCCTGGCATCAGGAACTGTCCTGCCATTGCTACTAAGCTTGCTATCATTGTGATCATGAAACGGTGGTTAGGAGGGCAGAGCTCTATCCCTGAAAAAAATATATATATAAAGAACATTTTGAGAGCGATGACAATCAAAAAGGAAAAAAAAAGATAAAATCTTTGCAACCGTCTCTCAGGTACTTATAAATAAATAACTGTACATTCAAAGAGGATAATTCCTATCTGAAATATTCTACATGGCAAATTTTGTTTTAAGGTGTAAGGAAAAACTGCTTGCTTTGAACCTCTCTCTGAGTGACAGTCTGCATTTAGAATAGAATAGAATAGAATAGAATAACAGAGTTGGAAGGGACCTTGGAGGTCTTCTAGTCCAACCCCCTGCTTTGGCAGGAAACCCTATACCGGGGGTCTTCAAACTTGACAGCTTTAAGACTTGTGGACTTCAACTCCCATAATTCCTCCTCCAGTCATGTTAGCTCGGGAATTCTGGGAGCTGAAGTCCCAGAAACTTGCCAAGTTTGAAGACCCTTGCCCTATACCACTTCAGACAAATGGTTATCCAATCTCTTCTTTAAAGCTTCCAGTGTTGGAGCATTTACAACTTCACAACTGCAAGTTGTTCCACTGATTAATTGTTCAAACTGTCAGAAATTTCCCCTTTGTTCTAAGTGGCTTCTCTCCTTGATTCATTTCCACCCATTGCTTCTCATCCTGCCCTCAAGGTGCTTTGGAGAATAGCTTGACTTGGCAATTTATTTGCATGAATACAGGTGTAAAAAGGAGAAGGGGCTGCCATAGCATCCTCTGGCTGGACACTGTAAAAGATAACACTGAGATGACCATGGTGGACCTGAAGGAGGTAGTGCAAGATAGAGGGGCATGGAGAGTGATGATCCATAGCAGGGGCCCCCAAACTTGGCAACTTTAAGACTTGTGGACTTCAACTTTCAGAATTCCTCAGCCAACTATGCTGGCTGAGGAATTCTGGGAGTTGAAGTCCACAAGTCTTAAAGTTGCCAAGTTTGGAGACCTTTGATCCATAGGATGGTGGAAGGTCAGGCATGACTGAATGTCCATCAGAGTTGATGATGATGATAGGAGTTAGTAATAGGTAAGGCTGCATTTTATATTTTGTGAATCACATCAAAACCAGTTAGACTTGACTTAATCAAGAGTCACTGTTTTCAACCAAATTAATCATAATAATCTCACCTGGATCCAAACTATCTCTACCACTGGAAAAAGAGTAACATTTTTTTGGTTTTGGGTTTTAATAGCCGCCACAAATATTCGCTTGGCATCATTAGATACCTATTCCCATTTGAACATCCCAGAAAATCGTTAGTGGCCTGAATATTTGACTGTCAACATGTAAATATTTGGATGTGCCATAGTTCACCAAATTAAATGGCACCCAACATATTTAGAAAATAATTCTACTCTGGGTTTTGGAAACACAGCGGAAGACATTATTTTGCTCTAGACCTTATCAGTCAGACTATATTGAAAGATAACACTGGATTAAAAAAAAAGACCAATTGTTTCCAGTTCAAAATATTGATAGTTCTTGCAAGCTCAACTGTTGTTTGGTTTGGCTGCACTGTATTTATTCTTCCCAAAAGAGAAAAAAAATCTACAAATATAATATATGCACAGTTGTTTCGAATACCAGCAGGGAACAACAAGAAAGAGCTGTATTGTCCATCCATTCTGCTTATAAGATGATGCATGTAAACTGGTCTTGGATAGAAAAGATTTCTCACACATGCTGCAGTGCAAAGCAGCATAAAGGATTGGTTGATTTTATTATTTCCCCTTTTGATTAAAAAAGAGAAAGAAATGCAAAAGGGGGGAAAAAATGAAATCAAAGAAAACCAACCAATCTCACACTGCTTTTGTAATAAAAACACAGCAGGAATGTAATATCATTCAATAAATTACTCCAAATTAGTTTACGAATGAAGGCAAATATACATGTCCAAAGTTAATATTGTAAGATCGAATTTGGATCAGTCACCAGAGATTTACTCTTCCGAACTTTCGGACTCATGCTGGAGCCATCTTCAGAAAACTTCTCCTTACTGGGATATGTGCTTTGGACTATCCTGGGAGTCATATTTATTTGGTGCCTTCCTACTGATTCATTGGTGTGTTGATGGCTGGTGATTGCTGTTGTTTCTTCATGCTGCCAAGCCCTCAGCTCTAAGTACTTGATATCTAGGAGCCAAGGGCTTCTTAGCAACACAAGGAAACAACAGCCAATCGCCAGCCATCAACACATGATGCCTACATCTCTGACTGGAATTAAAAATTCAGCCTACATTTAATATATTTTGTCAGTTTTTCCACAAAGGCACAGATTGGAGGCACCCCAAATTTGAGGCACTCAAAATATTTCTTGGAAGGTCACATACCAACTCCCCTCCGCTCATATTAATTTTCCTGTTCAATAGCCAAACCTATTTCCTGCTGGCTACTCTCTTCCTTGGGAAAAGATATCACTAAAACACTAAGTGCCTAAGAAAATAACTCTATCAAATAGAGGATTGTATGACAACCATATTTAGATTTTGGGCAGAGCTTTCGGCCTTTGATATTAACTGACTTGGCGATTTTGTATTTCAGCAAATAGGATTGGTTATATACGGTACAATAAAGCCAGATCAATCAGGATGGTTAAATATGACATCATTAAGTCTATTCAAACTGAGAAGAAACATTACCTTACTTTGAAGGTATGTGAAGTAGGAGGAAGAAGAATACAGTAAATGACATTTGGGTATCTGTGAAATGGGTTGGGTGAACATTTTTGCTGTTATTGCATTCTCAACTGAAGGAAATCAGGATAAACATTTTAAAGGTTACAAAAACCAAATTTATCATATGGTCCATGAACAATGCACTAGGCTAGGGACTCTCCTAAAAATGCAACTAGTGATATACAGTAATTTATAAATGGTATGTTTGGAAAGCTAATTTTATAAAACAGGTAACACGGAGGATCACGATTAACAGAATATGAATCCTAATCCTAATAAGTATTTATTTATCTGTGAAAAGTGTTTTCATGAAAACAATAACATTCCTATTGTCTGATTTTTGTCTCCTTCAAATAGCTTTCCGTTTACAGATGAGAAAAGGAATAACATGGAAATGATTTGATACTTATTGTCCTTGTTATTGGTTCTTTCAGGTTAAGGCTGCAAGGCAATTATCTTATGGAAACAAAAATAAATGATAATTTCAAGTTTTAAGTGAGGATAAAGGAATGTGGAAGTGAAGAAGTGCTGGATTGAATTATGTCTTAAGAGACTGTATTCATAGTAGACATAACAATTATCTGCATAAATGATAAATGTAGCACAGGCAAACATACATATAAATATTATTACTGGTTTATTTATTTGTGGCACCCTACTGCTTACTTTCCTCCATGTAGTTGGTACTCCATGTAGTACCAATAAGGTCTACTCATTGAGTATGGTTTGTCAGCCAGTTACAAATCCATCTATGCTGTCTATCATAATTATATGAAATTTGATCTGGAAACTTCTCACATTTAAGTAGAATCCCACTTCACAAAATAGCAGTAACAGTGTTTGTGGACCAATATAAATTGAACACAAAATCTATCCCTACTGAAATAAGCCCAAGCTATACCATACAAGATAGTGTCTCTGTGGCATACATGCATTATTTCGGTGGAAAATACCTAGCTGATATTATCTTCTATTATTCACTTTTAGTAAGGAACAGGATTGCCATCCCAATGTGAAACTAGTATTTGGCAACCTCCGTTTCATTATTACTGCCATCATCCACTTTAGCCAGTTTGATATTTTAACAACCTGTGGTTACTTACTTAGTAATACCGTGTTTCTCATATAATAAGGCCGGGTCTTATTTTTTTTGGAGCCCCGAAAAAATGGCTAGGCCATCTTTTCAGGGGTGACTTAATTCCCCCCCTTGCATCTTCGGGCGGGCAGGCGGCGATGGCTTGGATGTTGACCTCGGCGTTGGTGGGGCACTTCGTATTGGGGTCAACACAGGCAGCACCATATCCGGGTGTGCAACAAAAGTACTTCCTAACGGCAAGCCCCCCCACCATTCCCCCCCATTTCGCATGTTTTAATATAGGCCTTAATTGGGGGGGGGGGGAGGGGCTTAATTTCATTTCATGCCTATCAAACATGCTGGGACTTCCTATTGGGGGAGGCCATATTGTTGGAGAAACAGGGTAGTAGGCTCATAAACTAAACTTCCAAGTTTCATTGGTCAAATTAGACTAATTTTTCCTTATTCTACAGTAAATTAAAGCTCATAGTTTAACTTAAACGATTTGCATAGTATGGAAAGAACATTGTCCTTTGTATGGTTTAGAAATCCAGTGAAGCTCAGCTTCCAAATTAACAAATGTTTACAATAAAAAGTGGGAAACAGAAGAAAACCAGCCTATACGTAACAAAGCAGAACTACATCATTTACTAATCTCAAACTGACCATTTTGGGTTGGGAAGAAATATTTTATAGAGAATCAAAATGCCATAGAGAAAAATGCTCAAGAAGCAAGTCAGGTGGATGTTAAATGACAGTCAAGAGGTAATCAATCAAACTAATGGAGTTGAAGCACAAGCTTTCCACCAAAATAAGAGAATGTCTCAAGAAGAAGAGATTGTGCTAGCTGGTTTTAAGGAATTTTACGACATGAAAAATCTCAGGAAGTTTCATCTAACAATGGTAAAAGTTATAGAATTCTAAAGCAAAAAAGTTTCTGGATTTAATTAGGATGATGATGTTATCCATTTAGTCGCATCCAACTTTTGGAGAGAATATGGACCAGGTCTCTCCATTTCTTCCAATCTTGCATTATTTCTTTGAATTTTTCTAGGCTCTGCTTGGTGTCAACTTTGATGGTGGCTAGCCAAAATGTTCTTTGATGGTCTGCCTTTTAAACTGGTAACTTATCCAAACATAATTGCTTTCACCAGTGAATTCCCTGGTGAGACATGGCCAAAGTTAAGTGAGATTCAGTTCCATAATTTTGCCTTTAGTAACATGTCTGATTTAAATCCCATCATAAACATAA